TTTAAACAAATTATTAATTATTAATTTTTTATTTTAATTTTTAATAATTATAAATTTTATAAAATTACGACTAAATTAAAATTAAAGATCACAATCATATTAAACAAATCTTAAATTTATTTCCTACCTTATCTATGGGTGCGAAGATTAAAATAATTGAGAGAGTTTAAACAAAAATTCTCAAAAAAGAAGAAGAAAATCCCACTCGTATTTGTCCACCTAACCGTGAAGGGGAGAGGTAGACCTCTCAAATTTAAGAATAATTAATTCAGTTATTAGTACCCTTAGAAAATAAGCTAAATAGCATTATAATAGCATTAAAAAGAAAAAATTAAGATATATTGATAGTAAAAATGTTAAAACATCTAATAATAGTCACATGATAAATTTGATAAAATTAAAATCTATAATATACTCTACATGTTTAACGGTTGTGATTAAACGTACTAACATATTTCCTTTTCTCTTCTTTTAATAGTGAGAATTTGCCTTAGAAAATATAAAATTGATTTTATTTTTCAATATCAATATTAAGTGGATGATTTTAATTAAATAATTAATAAAATTATAAAAAATATTATGTGATTAGAATTACACTAAACTTTATAATTTAAATCATTAAATGGAGATAATCTCCTAATATTAGAAACTATTTCTTTATTAATTTTTGTTATATAATTTGATATATTGTAATTCAAATTTTAAAACAAAAAATTCATAAAATAAATATCAATTTATTTTTTTTATATAAATTAATTATAAAATTGTATAATTAAATTACTTATTAACTTATGACTCCGTCTTTAATAGACGACTACAAAGAAATTAATTCCTATGCCACCTGGGATTTGGAAGCCGATGATCCTTAGGTTTGGCGTGGCTCTCATTGTCCACACAGCTTGGCCCCTTTTTGTCTTATGCTATGCAACATTAGCAAGATTTCTTAATTAAGCACGTATATTTCTTTCATTTTCTTTTTTATATATAATTTTTTTTCTCAACCCAAACGTATCTTAATTTTAAAAGTAATACAAAGTTTGTTATTGACTAAACATATATAGTTAACAAAGTTTCTACGATCTTAAGGTTTTTAAGTTCGGGCATTAATTCAATTTTATACTAATTTCATATAATTTATAGTGTAATTTATAACTAATTAATTGTTTGGTATTATGAGTTTATTATATGCTAATTTTATCTATATGTAGATTTTACTTTTATATAACTTAGTGTAGGAAAAAAGAAATTGTAGGAAATCACAAACTTGTAATTTTATCTTCTAATTCTTTATGCTAAACTTAAAAATTAAAATTCATAACTCCTTTTTAAAAATCTTGTTTGTTCTAACTACTTCTAACCTCAGCTGCAATACATAACCTACTCATGGGATTAAAATCTTTTTATAATTGATTGTCAATTATTCTGTAAATAAAAATGAGGGTGGAGGTCAGTAATTTAAACTCATCATCTTTTGAAGGATATGGAAAACATACTCATTATTAGTTCAACTACAACCTCAAATGTTCAATCTTTGGGTTTTTTACATGGTTGATTTCGTTAACATATGAAATGAGTTATACAATAGAATATGTAAAAATCAAGTAATTTTTACATAGGCATAAATCATTTATGGCAAAAAAATATAAGCTAATTTTCAGCCCTTGGTTAAAAACAAAATGGGTAATTTTTAGGTTTGGAGCATCCAACATTTTAGTTTGTCTTACTCTTACTATTTTTCTCTCAAAATAATTTTGTTTTTTAAAATTTTCTCTCAATAAGTAAAGAATTTGAGACAAATTATGTGTTTACTAAAAAAAGATAAAAGATAATAACAAATAAAAAATTTTGTAATTAGATTGTTAATTAAAATAAATGAATAATGATAAAATTACAGTAAAAAAATATATTTATTTATCTATAAAAAATAAAATTAATTTAAAATAAATTAAAAAAACAGTAAATTTACAACTGAAAAAATAAAAGTAAAAACGTTTCATTTTAAGAAAGAAAAGCTCTGTACTTTTCTTCATTGTCAAAACCATGAAAAGAGATCAAGTGCATTTTTCCTTTTTGTTGCTTCTGTTCCCTGCAATTTATAACCTTACGTTGGTCTTACATTATCTCTACTCTCATCTTCTAATCGTCCACATGTTAAACACGAACTCAACCCAATCCAGGAGAATAGAGCTGGTCCTGTAAACTTGGTCGGCAGAGTAGATGAAGCCAAGCTGCAAAACAGAATTGGAAGCCAAAAACCAAGCTTTTCCAGGAGACGTGGTCACTGATGCAAGCATACCCAAAATTATTCCAATTGACTTACTTAACGCCATTGCAACCCAATAATTTACAAATTTTCAAACTCAAAACCTTGCCAAACCATCCCTTCTTATACGCCATCAATTCCAATATTCTCAGTCCCATATCCTTTCCCAAACCCCCATACACCACCATGGACAAAAAATTGTTAGCCCTCGTTCTTGCATCCTTCCTCTTCTTCCTCTTCTTCAATACGCCGGATTCTCATGCTGCGAGTAATGATTATATCCGCCATCCCCCTCGCCAGCTCGTTGCCACTCCTCATCAAGGATCCAAATCTGACCCTCAACAAGTACTTTTTTTTAGCATCGAATCATGAACTATACAACAAACTCAACGGATGCCTCTGGGTTTCCTTAATAGAAGGAATGACTCATTTTCGTAATTTTTTCTTAATTAAATGCAGGTTCATGTTTCACTGGCGGGGAAAGATCACATGAGAATTTCGTGGGTCACGGATGACAAAAATGTGGAATCTAAGGTTGAATACGGAAAGCAACCGGAGAAATATAATGCGGTGGCGACCGGAGAGAACACGGAGTACGAGTACTTCTTTTATACCTCCGGTACGATACACCATGTTAAGATCGGACCTTTGGAACCGGCGACTACCTATTATTACAGGTGTGGAGGTCAGGGGCAGGAGTTCTCCTTCAAGACTCCTCCTGCAACGTTTCCCATCGAATTTGCGGTGGTTGGTAAGTGGTCCTATTCCTATCGTACCCCAATTTAATGGTGCTTGAAATTTTCCTGAGTGGAAATTATTGCTCTCTGGTCGATCTCCCCAACAAACACATTTTTCTAGTGCATTTCCAACAAAGTGCCTGAGAAAACATTTATTTGTTGATATTCCCATTCTGTTTCCTGCATAAATTGGGTAGAGATAGAGGGTCATCGTTGGGTATAAATTTTGAAGCATAAATACATGCACGCAAGATCCATAACTTGAGCATTGAATTTGGCTTATAATGCAACATTAATTTACTGCTAGATCTAAACTTTGGGGCAGTGAATTCAAAGCACACACTGCAACTTACGAATACCTTGCACCTTTTTTTTTTTTTAATTTTTTGAGTTGCAAGGGCATAAAAAAATTTTTTTTTTCTTGATGGGTCAATTTAATAACCTTATTCTTTTCGGCTTTTGATTTAGTTGTTAAATTTTGAACATTAAAATTGATATTTGAAATTAAAAAGTTAAGAACTAAAATTGACCATTTTATTAATTACAAAATTTAAAAATTTTAATTTAATTTAATATTACTAAGAATTTATCTATTTTGTGTCCTTAAAATGCAAGATAAAAAGTAATAATTGTATAATTATTATTGTGTTTTATCTTGAAAATAATAAAGTTGACATTTGTTTTAATTACAAATGCCATGTGTCAGTTTTTTATTCGTTTGTTTTAAAATTAAATTCAAAACTTATTTTTTTAATTTAAAATTTCACATCTTTAAAACCAAAAAAAAAAAAAACTATTGAGTAATAATTATGCTTTTTATGGGCACAAAATAAACAAACCCTAATAGCATGTTTGGATTGAGGGGGAAAGGAGGGAAAGTTTTTATGACTAATCAAATTAAAACGCTTGAGGGGAGGGTAGGGAAAAAATTTTTAACAAATCAAATTATAATGTTAAAAAGTGTTTGATTTTTTAAAATATGATTTATTTAACATGTGCCCTAAGGATATATGTAAGGGGGTAATTAATATATTTTTTTTGATATTAATTAGTATAGAAAATAACAAAAGTTGATATTAATTTTATCATTAATGCTCTATATATTGTTTTAATTGGACAGTTGATTAAATAAATATTAAATTTTATTTTTTTAATGACAATTAAAGTTAAAAAGGTATTCTTAACCTATAATCTAAGGACACAAGTTAAAAGAACCCTTAAAAATATTATAATTTGATTTGTTAAAAAAATCTTTCCCTTCTTCTCCCCTCTTGTTCCTTCATTTCCCTCAATCCAAACATATAGTAAGTTTTTAACAACTAAAATATAATATATATAAATATGTTGAAAATAGCAACCCCAATTACCAAAAGGACTCTTAATTAGAAATTACTCATGCCAATAAAAGAAACAAAGCAAATATGATAAAAACCTGGCGTAGTGGTAAGAGAGATTGGCCTAAAACTTCGAAGTTTTAGATTTATATCCTATTTTGTGTAGATTAATTTCTTTCATTACTACCATAAAAATGGTTTTCTTTTATTATAATTAATTAAGTATGAAAATATTGAATAAAAAAAAAAGAATTAACAGCAATAATAATACATTATTTGGATAAATGGTAAATTTATTTATCCAATAACTATCTATTCACAAGTAAGCAGCAATTTGTTGCTGCTACAAAAAATAAAACACAAAAACTATTTAAACTATACTATATTACTATCTTTGCACAGCAGCTCCAATCCTCCAATTGATTGCTATGGATACAGGCAGAGATGAGGATTTCAACTTGGCAAATCCTAAAATCCTGTGTTTCACATCAAATTGCACTTCTTCACATGCTGCCTCTTCTGTTTTAAAGACTTGCTGATGGATTCTTTTGTTCATTTCCACCCAAACATGCATAGAAGATTGCAGCACTCCATATTAACTTGAATAGTGTCCAATAATAATATACATATATAAGTATGGAAAATAATTCGTATAAATTTGGTTTAATACACTTTCTGACTCTTTTCTTGGTTTAGTTATTAAAATCTAATATAAGTATAGTTAATTCAATTAATTCTTATATCTTGTATATATTACTGAATTTTTAAATTTATTTACTTTTAAATTCAAATAAAAAATGATGATTTTTTAATAAATATATTATGCAGTGTATTGAATTCAAGCATGTATCAATTAATGTCCGTATAAGTATATATATGCCATCAGGCTCAAGAAGCGTCTAAAATAATTGAAAACTTAAAACTCCAAATTTGAGATAATTTAAATCTTGAGACAGATAAAAAGAGATTAAAATAAGAGAGAATTATTTTTTATTATATAATATATCATCTAATAAGTATATGTAATGTAGCATTACACTTGTATGTATCATTATTGTCCTTAATTCTTTTTATTCAATATCATATGTATCCCCTAAATAAAAAGAGTTAATTACAAATAGATGTCTAATTATTATACATAAACATGTGCTTAAACATTATACGATTGATTAGACCCGTAAAAATCAATTGATTTCAGGTGATCTTGGACAAACTGAATGGACGGTATCAACACTAGCACACGTAGGCAGTGAGGACTACGACGTGTTCCTATTACCCGGCGATCTATCTTATGCGGACTTCCAACAGCCGCGATGGGACTCCTTCGGCCGCCTGGTGGAGCCTTACGCCAGCCGCCGCCCCTGGATGGTGACGGAAGGCAACCACGAAGTTGAGATGATCCCAATCATATACCCCCACGGTTTCAAGGCCTACAACGCCCGCTGGAAAATGCCGTTCGAAGAGAGTGGATCTACATCAAATTTGTACTACTCATTTGATGTTGCGGGAATCCACATTTTGATGTTGGGGTCGTACGCAGAATTTGATCATGATTCGGCGCAGTATCGGTGGCTGGTGGAGGACTTGGCGAAAGTGGATAGGAAGAAAACGCCGTGGGTGGTGGCGCTGTTGCATGCGCCATGGTATAATACCAATTCGGCGCATCATGGGGAAGGAGAGAGCATGAGGAAAGCCATGGAAGAGGTGCTGTACAAAGCTCGAGTGGACGTGGTTTTTGCTGGGCATGTTCATGCATATGAACGATTTGTAAGTGTATCTCCATACTTCGTGGAACTTTTTTAATTTGGTAGGACTATTTAGCAACTATTCCCACATTGATTAGTTATGGAGTTTATGGAACAAATAGCATAATATATTAAAATTTATCAGTCATATTTTTAAAAATTAAGTAAAGAAGTCCTATTTGAATAAAATAACTAAAAAAAGACTTAAAAACACTTTTAAATTATGAAAGTTTATCAAAATAACATAATTTTGAGATTTTTTTTGCTTAATTCTTTTTAGACATCGGGCATCTATAATTTTTTTTTTTCTATAGTGCATATTAATTTCTTTTTTTTCTTCTTCTTCTTCTTCTTCTTCTTCATCATTTTGCAGACAAGGATTTATGATAAGAAGGCTGATCCATGTGGTCCAGTGTATATAACCATTGGAGATGGTGGGAACCGTGAGGGACTAGCAATGAAGTAAGAATTCTATTCTTTTCGTTGTGCATTGCATAATTTAATTTCAAAACAAGAGGAGGTATATTTAGGCCCATAAGCGCAAAATGAAAAGAGCTAGCTAGCCTTTGAACCCCTGAGCCCATGACCTGCCTTAAAATTCATGGGCTTGACAAATGCTGGAAAATAGGCTTTTAAGTAAGGGTCACAGGTTCAGTCTTAAAAATCAGGCCCAGTTCTTAAAATGCCATAACCCACGCCACCCAATTAACAGTCTCCTTTTATAATTTTGTTGCAGGTTTAAGGAGCCAGGTTCACCGCTTTCCCTGTACCGGGAGCCAAGCTTTGGCCATGCACGACTGAGGATGCTGGATGAGACGCGGGCGCATTGGTCGTGGCACCGCAACAACGACACCGACGCCTATGTGGCTGACGAGGTGTGGCTAGAGAGTTTGAGCACAAACGCTGCATGTTGGGACACAACAACCCCTACCAAAGACGAGCTTTAAATCAAACCAGACCTTCTAAACTCAAGTCCAATTCAGTATTTGCTTGCAGCAACTGTGACGAAAAGTCAGCACGTGGTCGGTCGCTATCCATCTTGTAAAATAAAGTATATTTATTTGTGTCGTTTTTCTAATAATTTACGAAACACTGTAGATCTAATGAATATGGATTTTATTATCTTTATTTAGTTTACCTATTTGATGCTCTACCTTTGAACAACAAGTGCATGTTATGAAAATAATTACTATTTCTCATTGTGCAACTTAAACCAAGAACGATTTAATGGAGATTAGGGTTGTCGATGAATTGATTATTATAAGGGATTTGATTGAAATTCAACTTAATTTCGAGCATGAGTATTTAAATATTTCACTCGATTGAAATAAAAAAAAAAATAATTTATATACAACTTTTTTATCTTATTTTTTTAATAATTTAATGTGTTATTAAAATAATTAACTTTTTTAATTCATGTAAAATATATGATATTAAATATATTTATTTATTTAATAATATATAAAAATTATATAAAAAAATAAAATAAAATAATTATCCATGTAACACCACTTAATAAAAGATATATAGAGCTATCAAGGATCGCATGGTTACTCAATCACAATAAGTTTGCTGGGCGGAGTTCAAGCGCCTAATTTTTTCAAGTTTGATTAAATTCAGCTTTTTTCAGCACAAAGGACGGTTTGTCTAAGCATATTTTTCTTTTTCTTTTTCTTTTCTTTCTTTTTTTTTTTAATTTGGCAATTTTACCATAGGAGGAGAGGGTGAGGTTACAATTGAATAGGTGGCCCAGGAGGATCAGTCCTACGGCATTTCCCAGTTGCAATTACATAGGTCGGTCCTCAATCACCGAAAGTTGCCCTGCGACCAAACTTCATGAAGTGATTGGCGTTTTGTCTTGTTTGAGAGTTTGAACTCATTTTGGTTTTGATGAGTACTTGGATTAGGTGTTCAGTCGCAGTTAATAGCTGCTATTATATTGATTTTGATTAAATGTTAATTTTAATTTATGAACTTTTTTTACTTTTAAAATTTTTTTGAAGTTAAAACTTTTTTTAAGTGTTTTTTTATCACTCAACTTTATAAATTGCAGTCATTTCGATCTTCGTCAGTTAAAGTTCAAATGACACATTTTTTCTGTTAAAAAATTAATAATGATTTGTAAATAATTTTGTGTATTATTTTTTTATAATTTTTATATATCATTTAATGAGTAAATATATATAATATTTTAATAAAATAAAAAAATCAATTATTAAATAACATATTTAGTTGTATAAAAAAATTATATAAAAAATGTCTCTCAATCATTTTCTTAAAAAACATCTCTAATTTTAAATAATATGTGGAAAATAAAAATTATATTTTACTACTTATATGGACAATATAAAAGTTGCGTGACATTATTACCCTACATGTAAAACTTTTGGATCCACACGTGTAAATTTAATAAGTCAAATCCTTCTAACCTACATACAAGCCATTCTCAATTTCATCTTCTTCCCCAATTTCCTTTTCTCTTCCTTTATTCATCTTCCTATCTCCAGTGACCTCTTCCTCCTTTTTTAGTTCTCCGATACACACCTTCTTCATGTACCTCCTTTTTTCCTTGTACCTCTTCCAGACTTCACATCTTGGTTCCACGAAACCCAGACTTCTGGGTTACATAGAACCCAAAGATTTAGATTCATACAAAGCTGAAGATATAAGTTATTTAATATTTCAAAATAGGTGATGATTTATAATTAATTTTTTATATAATTTTTATATATTATTAAATAAATAGATAATATTATAAATTTTAATAAAATAATATTTATCAAATAATTATAAAATTAAAAAAATTTTACTTTATAATTCAAATTATATCAAATTATAAAATAAAATTATTAAATTAAAAAAACTTTTAATATCATAAAACTCACCTTCATATAATAATTATTATATAATTATTATAATGTAGTACAATATAATTTTGATTGCATTACATTTTTTTTTATGAAATTATATGAAAGACTCATTTTTAAAAAATAACACTTGACCTTTAGAACCAACTAGTAACTTATCAGTTTAAAATATATTTTTCCTCTTTATAAAACAAACTTAAAGCTCGTTCACTGACCATTTATTCAAATATATATATATATATCAAATAATTATTTTTCTTTTGTAAGCAAAACATTGTCCCACAAATCTTTCGCTGCATTGGTTTGGTTGGACATGACTATTGAGTATTGAGTATGGTCCGATATCATTGCAAATAGCTGCCCTTTCCGTATGTTAAAAAATCTGAAAATGTTGTCCATGGAGCAGGAGCACCAAACACGTGTATATAAGACATGAAAATAAAACACGGGGATAGCTTATGGCGTCTTATCTGGACAGATAGATGTATGTAATGATTACAAGCCTTCCACTTCTAAAAGTCAATTTTTTAATAAAAAATAGGTTAAACCTCAACTTTGATCCCTCAACTATTATATGAACTCTCATTTGATCCTTAAATTAAAAAAATCCTCAATTTTATCCCTTAATTATTGTACAGATCTTAATTTGATATTATTGTTTATTAATTTAACCCTAAATTGATTCTTCCTTTAAAAAACAACTGATATGTTTATTAATTAACAATAAAAAATTATTACTTAATTATCATATATCACATTAATAATAAAATATATTATCTATTTTTATAAAACTAATTTAAAATCAAATTGATAAATAATAAAAACTAAATTAAAAGTTTTTTTAATTTAAGAAGCAAATCAAGAACCGATGCAATAATTAAGGGATCAATTGAAGAATTAACCTAACAAATAAAAAAGAAAGACCAACCAGCAAGAATGTACACGGAATTGCACTCCATTTTTTCACCCAGAAATTTGACTTTTCTATTTAATTTGATAAATTAAATTGTTTTTGATTTTTCGTTCAAAACAATACCCGGACCACCAACGCATGCAACTGATGGTACTAATGTATTAAAAATGGTCATTTTCATTTTGATGGAAAGTGTTTGGGACTTTAAGGGTTAGGCGAAGTTGAAGAGAATTTGGCCCGAAAGTCATATTCTTGGCATATTCCGGGGGATTACTTGAGCACATGACTAATTTAAAAGTAGTCTTAGAAATTCCCAAAACAAGTTTTATTATTATTAATTGGTTTTAGAGCTTTAAATTTAATCTTATAGATTGAAGTCAGATGTTGTGTCCATTCGCATCTCTTCAATTTTTTTCTCTTTTTTATCAATGATTTTTTTAATATGTGTCTTAGATTAAAAATGTAATAAATATATTTTTTATTATAAATTTATATTAAAAAATAAAAATTAATCTTCTATCTATAAATTATTTAATTAAATTCATGATTCACGTAACAATAATACTAAAATTAATGTCAAATATTATATCTTTCTATATAAATTTATGATAAAAAAATGCTCTTAAAGTACAAGTTACAAAAAATCTTTTATAAACAATCATTAATTTATTAATAATTAAGTCTCTATTTAATATAATTATAGTTTTTGAGTTGGCTTTTATAGTTTACAAACAGTTATTAGTTGTTGGTTCTAAACTTCTAATTCGATAAATTAGATATATAT